TTTCATATCAAACAGCCACAAGATTATCTGTGCAATCAGATGCATTCTGAAGTTTGAGAAATAAGCATCTTCTTCACATACTTCATGGTCTCCCTAATTCATTGTATGGCTTTCAAAAATAAAGATGCTCCCATCTGTAAGGCTTTTAATTCCTTCTCAAACTCATAAGCAGGCTAACCAAGTGGTACATCAGATTATTATGACTCCAAAAACACAACACAGCATCTTAAACTCAAACTGCCACTGATTAACATTAGGGGTGGCCATTATCAAGGAGCTGCTGATACAGTTCTACAGAGGAATTATTGAGTCTGTCATCTGCACCTCTATAACTTTCTGGTTTGGTTCTGCAACCCAACAGGACAGAAACAGACTTCAGAGGATAATTAGGACTGCAGAAAAAACAATTACTACCCACCTGCCTTCAATTGAGGACCTGTATACTGCACGAGTCAAAAAGAGGGATGTGAAAATATTTACAGACCCCTCACATCTCGGACATAAACTGTTTCAACTCCTTCCCGCAAAACGATGCTATAGAGCACTGCACACCAGAACAACTAGACACAAGAACAATTTTTTCCCAAAAGACATCACTCTGCTAAACAAATAATTCCCTCAACACTGTTCAACTATTTACAAAGTGTACACTACTATTACTGTTAATCTTCTCACCACTCCTTCTCACCCATCCCCTCCCACTTGTGATTGTAGGACTGCAACTTTGTCGCTTGTATCCTTACGATCTATATTGACTGTTTCCTAGTATGATTTGATTGCTGATTGTACCCTATGACTGTCATTAAGTGTTGTACGTTATGATTCTTAATGAATGTATCTTTTCTTTATGTATACTGAGAGTATTTACACCAAGACAAATTCCTTGTGTGTTCAATCACACTTGGCCAATAAAGTATTCTATCTATATTTCTAGCATTACTTCCCGTAATCTGGATTATGTGGCTCCTTTTAATATATGCCAAAATATTGCTAGCAACTGATCTACTAGAATATCCAGTTCCCTTTCAAAAACCCAGGTCTGCCTTCCCTTATATTTGAGCAATTCATTTTTTTCCCCTCGCCAGGTGCAAGATTTCACATTTCTGTTGTTTTTAGTTTGAAATTTATTTGCTGCCCGTCTCGTGGTTCAAAGCGACTCTGTTAAATTTCATGTTGCTTGTTGTGGTCCACTATTGAAGTATCTGTATCTTTTTGAATTTATTTTATCTCCTGAAGTTTTACTCACTCTTCTTACTTTTGTTCTCCGGAAGACTCCAGGTTCTTTTTAAGACAACCTCACAATTGATACACTGGAGAAGGCAGCAACTGCAACCATCTCAACCCCACTCCACCCACTTCAAATTCTGTCCTACTCCTATTAAAGGTTTGGCCACTAAGGTTGGCCACTATGTTGCCAAATTGGTATCTTCGTCTACAATTAATCATCGATCAGAGGCATTTTATCTGGCATTAAGCAACAGCTCCAGACTGGAAAGCAGATTAAAAGGACCCTCCAAATTCTTTTAGCTGGGGGAAGGATTAGAAAGGCTTTTGAGTGCCATTCTCTTCTCCCCCTTCCACCCCAAATGTGGAATTTTCTATGACTGTAAAAGCAGGATACAAATGCAACAGATCAATAAATAAAAGAAAAATATGAAAGTTTTTTTAAAAAAAACCCGTCAATGTTTAAGAGTACCTATTCACAGCATTCTTTTTATCACCCCAAGTTAATATTTATAAACATAAAGTATTACTCAAGGTGTTGTATCGTTCTACCTGATGACAAACTCAACAAAAAACAACGTAAAGAACTAGGAAGGGACAAGTTTCTAGGCAACTAGGAAACATATTACAATGAGTACCATTACTGCATCATTAAAAGTTGTCAAAAAATTTTTTTTCCCATTGAACAAATGAATAAGGGAGCTTGCAAAATTGGTAAAATATAAATGAATTCATCACTTCACTTATGGGAGAAGAAAAAAGCATGAATGGACAGGTAATGGATGTTTGATAGCTTTCATTTCCTGTAATCTCAATTAAAGCTGATGTTTTGGAGGCTGTTTTGATAATAATCCCTTACTAAATATTCTTTCCAAACTGTCTCCAATCTTCTAAATAGATCAGTGCTGAAAACATAAGTATCAGCTCTTCTAAGGATATGTGTATTTGGGGATATGTATATGAAGTAATAATAACACGTATTTTGGGTGGAAAACTATTCCACCAAAACTATTCATTAATTCACTGAATACTCTGTACTATCGGATTCAAATGCACATAACACTCATTCCTTAATTAATGAATCTAACAACACAACCATTTTTTTAGCACCACAACTCTAAGCTGTACTGTCATTTAAAATTCCAATATTTTTCTCTTTCCAAAATCTGTCTTTTGTCATATACAATTGGAGGAAGGACTGAGCAAATCTACCATTCTGAGTACTGTTCTCAAGCAAAAGTAACAAATTCATAATCTGGCTGCCAAACTCTACCACTCTTGAGAGAATTGATACTATTTCTGTAGTGTTTGTATACAACTGTATTTACTCAAATTAAAAGAGAACAATAGCTTCTACAGAGACTGAATATGGCTTCATATGCATTCAGCAACTAAAGAGAGCATCGCTTGACGAAGCAATGAAGCAAAATAATGTATATTATGCAGAGACAGTAAGCTCTGTATGAGAATTCCCGGAATATTAGCTCGCCATTAAATACACAGTCAGGACTGGAATCCTGGCAGATGAAGCAATCAAAGGTCCAAGTACATTTGTTATTCTCATCTTACATACCCCTAAAGCCAATTTCTAGACTTGAAAGTTAGGGTGGGATGGCCTTGTGTGAGGTTCATGTTTAAGCCAAATGGCCTGATTTATACTTCCTAGAATTATTATTTTTTGTTTCTCTACTATTGCGGACTTCAAGAGTTCATGAAGTATATATAAGATTATATGGAGCTCTGAACACTATTTTGGATTCTTCTCCGGCGAAGACATACGGTTGCTATTTTGCACATATTTTTTTGTACTATCTTAGATGTTTTCCCCACAAGGGAGGATAAAGTTACACACATGAATACCAAAAGTTGACGGGTCAGTTGAGAAGTTAAAGCAAGTTTCTGAAATGTCTGGAGGTTATCTGAAAAAGCAGAATTCAAATGGCTGGTGCTTCTACATCAACTGCTTTCCTGACGATCCACTGAGTATTGCAGAGGATTCTGTGAAATATTTTTCTTTATTCATTGACTTCCTCTTTGAGAAAATACTGAACCAAGCAACTGGGAGTAAGAGATAGTGGAGTATCAGTAAACCCGAATGCCAGAAAAGATTACTAAATCCTACAGAATGTATCATTCAGGAAGTTTGGTGAAAAAAAGATTCTCCCATGGTGTGTAATCACTAAATTAAAACCTTTCTAAATTCCAAACACACATATGAAGAGCTGGATAGATAAATAATTTGACTGAAAGCCACTTCAGTCTAAATTGCACTATACTGTGGACTAGTGATTTTCCCCAAAAATCTGATTATGCAGACTAACAGAATGCAAATGCTATAAAGTCTACATAATTTATATGCCATTAGTTCCCTGTATAGAGTGTTCACTCATTTCCAAAGTGTTTCGAGCTACTTAATTGAAGTTTAGTGCTGCAAAAGAACAATGCAAACAAGCATGTTAATATTAACATTTCACCAAACTGCTTTTTAAGATGCAGTTTCCTTCCAACCTTTGAATTAGAGAAGTAGCAACGTGTTTTGCTAGAAGGCACTATAAAATACAGCACAGCTGTGATTACTAGAACTTTTTTTTAAACCTACCTTTGGTTAACAAAGTAAAATGAAATAAACAAAGAATACGCAAGTCCTTCATTCTTCCAGCATATGGGTTTACATACCATATAGACAGATGCAATTAAACTGATTTATTGCTAGTCATACCCATGCATAGGAATTTTCTCAAGTAATGGTTAGTACCTACATGAGTTAGATAAGGGTCAACAGAATTCAAGGGAGGCTTGGATTTAACTCACTTGTACCTACATATGGATTCTAGGCTGATCCCTCTTTTAACTGCTTCCCCTACAGTTCCATTGCTCACTTAGCATTATCACACATTGAAAAACCCTAAGTCAAACAAAAGCAAAAACAGGACAGCCTTTCTACCAAAATATATTGAGAAACTCTTTTGTATTATCCAGAAATTTTACTAGAGATCCCAAAGACCTGAAAAGTGTTTTTACCTAAAACATGCCAGAACCTATTGGCAGATGTGTTAAAAAGATATATTCCTTTTTATCACTAACAATGCCATTATGTGTTATTACGGTTGGTTACATAGTCAGCCAACTCAGTTAGACTGAATATAGCATTTTTATCTACCTGTCAAAGTCCTTCCCAAGGGTATAGGGATAAGCAGATGTTATTGCTTGGTAGCATTAAAAGTGACGTCGCAAGATTTAAACTGTTCCAAGCTTGTTTGTTTGTTTTTGAACTACCCATCTCCCTCAGAGTAGGATTCTGGGCAATATATATAAAAAAATGTTGAATGACATATAAAAATTTAAAAGTTAGAAAATATAGTATTTAGAAGGGAAGCAAGCATGATTAAACATTAAAAAGGGCAGAGGGAAGGCTCTGAGGGTGCCAAACAACCCAATGGCTTTGTGCTCCTTTGTAGTCCTGAGGCTACAGAGGCATGTTTTAACTCTACATGTTGGAATCAAAACAACTGACAAATCTGTCAATGCTGATGGTGTTCAAGTGCTGCTCCAGTTGGTTTGGGATGGCACCCAAGGCCCCTATTATTATTGGTGCTATGTTTGTTTTCCTTTGCCATAAGTCATTCTACTTCTATTTTCAGGCTTTTGTGTGTTATGTTTTTTCCCCAGTTCTTTCTCTTTTATTCTGCTATATCCAAGTTTTGCAACTTCTACTAACCAGACTTTTTTTTTTTTGGTCTTTCTTCTCAACAGTGATGAAGCTTGGGGTGTTATGTGGCAGATGCTTGTCTGTCTGAATTCTAACAAGATAATTTGCCGAAGGGGATAAAGGTGCAAATTAATTTTAAATTAAGCCAACCGATTAAGCAAATAATGGTGAGAGATGGGGTGCTGTATTGTACTTAGATACGAGCACATACCAAAGAAAAATTCCAAATATTAAGATGATTAAACAGTCTGTGTTTTCTTAGCAAGCAGAGGGTAACTTCAAAAGGCAGAAAGGCTGATTTGCTCCATTGTCTCTATCCAAGGTCCTGAAAAACCTGCTTCTCTCTATCTGAGTTCTTGCTTGAACCTGGATTTTGCATTGTCTTTTCTAGCAAAATTTCCTTCTCCCTTCCAGAAACTGCACCTGACCGAACTGCACCTTTCTCCTAGCCAATCAAAATGTTCCTTTTGGCCAGAACTACACTCTGAATGACTGAATTAGGAAACAAAAGGTCCTGTTTCAAATGTCAGCTCTCCTATGACTTGAGTAGGTAGCTGTAGGCAATTAAATTATCCATCTATTGAATTATCCATCAATCTAATTTTCCAACTGGAATTAATTAATACACATTTACACACTTGCTTAAATTGTAGGACTTATTCAAGGACTGTTACAATGAACATTTTAAAATTAGAAAGTGTTATATGAATGCTAAGATTATATTAGGATACATGACATCACACATCCCAAAATATAGGAGAGATTGTCTATGTTCAGGCTATTTTTTGATTCCACTTCTACCCACAGCTGAAGAATGGTTGCTATGCAATGTGTCAGATGCTATTTCATCTCCAAAATTCTGCCTGATGAGATTCTCTATGTTTAGCTCACAAAATATGTAAGAATAAAAATCTAGTTCAAAAATTAAATTCTCATTAAATTTGGATGCATTCTTAGTAAGAAATCATGAAATATTTCAGATGCAAAGTTGTCTATGCAAACAATGTAAGGTTTAGTTTTATACAAATGTGTGCTTACAAAACCGCATTGGCCAAAATACCTAGCAACATATGCACACTGCAAACACAATTAGTATGGTAGGGTATTTTATTATATTGCTTTTAGAAATTACAAAACGTAGTTAAAAATATAAGAAACATTCAAGAGATAATGACTAAAAAGATGGTCTTTATAGCATCCAATTTTACAAGAAATATTTGAAGGCTACTGAAAATAATGTTTGCCATCTCTGATCATACTCTGAAACAACTGTTTTCAAACTCTGTGGAATATCTACATCCATCTGACATCTGAATAATTTTGTTTGTTTATTCATGTCAGAAGCGTCACAATCTGAATAATTATTTCTGATATTTGAATTTCAGCTCAGGCTTCAATGGAAGTCCTTTGAACTAACAGGGAAGCCACCAAGAAATGGATCAGGTTGTAAAATTAAAACTGTATGAGTTTAATTCCAGGCTCTGTGTAGAAGTCCAGATGAAAACAACCCTAGTAAATGGCTGTCCAGCCACCTCATAAAAAGAACTAGAGAGAGAAGGGTCTTCTGGTGAACTGCTTGTACTAATAGTAATGCTTATTTTTTCTTAACACTTAATTGGAGATTTGAATCTATTATTTTGCATCTTTCACTTTGGAATAATGAAGCACCTTTTCCCTTGAGACAATGTTCTGTATTCAAAGGGTTCTATGTTATCTCTTCTCAGCCTCTTCTTAAGACTGAATGTTGCCATCACTTTCAATCTCTTTTCACAGGATTTATGTTTCTAGAATTATGATTGCATTGTTGCTCTTTTCTGTTTGTTTTTTTTCTTCAGTATTTGTCTGAAATTCTTTTAAAACAGCAGTTTTTAGAACTGGTTACAGTATCCAAGTTTGAATAAAGCGGAGTTATTGATTATACTTGTTGATGTAGCATAAAATTGCATTTTCAGGCACATCACATGGCTTTTCATGTAATCGGTTTGTAATCACCAATTCAATGTCTTTATCAGAAGTACTACTATTAAACCAAGTACATGTAGTCCATGTATACCGACTGCCTTATTGGGCAACCATTCAAAATTGTGACAGTGATAAAACAAGAAACTTGCAACTAATCCTCACATTTAGGACATCACAGCATCTCACAGTCACATGATCATCATTCATGTGCTCATATTTAGGATACCAACATCAATTGACTGGTATTTAATTTAATTTATTTGGTCATAGAGTTTTTAACTCATTTACATTAAATGGATATTCCCAGATTATATTTACCTCAATCAGTAATCCTGTCCCTCTGTACAGTTGTTCTTAATTTCCTGGTACCCTCTTGTACAGGAAGTTTAAGCCAAAGTAACAAATTGAGTGGCACTGTCACTTCTTTCTGATAGGAGTTGTCATGTTCATTAAACATCTAATTATTGTTTCTTTGTTTTGAAATTATGTTTAATAGCTCTGTATTGCTTTGCATTCTTCATTTTAAAAAATACTCAAAACAGCTAGCTATAAAACCATTAAACTAATTTTAAATATACTGAATGATGTGAGAAGAACAAGAACAGCTCATGCATAAAAATAAGAATAGATCATGCACAGAGCAGCAGAGATAAAATGAATCAACCACAGAGACAAAACATCGACATTCAGAATATGGTGGCACTGAATTATGAAAAAAACAAATTAATGTATATGTGAATACATCATGTCTACGAAAGAGGGTTTTTCCATTTTTGCATGAGGGGAGAAGGTAGAAGTATGTCATATAGCCCTGGTGGCAAACCTATGCCACGCGTGCTGGAAGTGGCACGCAGAGCCATCTCTCCAGGCATGCCAGCTGTCACCTGTTGTTCAGATGTCCCGGGTTCAGATGTGCATACACACACCTGGCCAGCTGGCCTTCGCGTACATGAGAGTGCCGAAAACCTGAAGAGCAGCTCCCTGGCATGCATGCATGCCGGCCAGCTGTTTTTTGCGCGCATATGCACGTTAGAAACCAGATGACCAGGTGGCTGGCACGGGCACATGCCACGAAGCTAAGCTTCCAGTTTTTGGCACTCCTGCGCACCGGGGAGCTGCTGTTCTGGTTTCCACCGTGCGTGTGCACGTGCTCCCATTTCAGCACTCAGTGCCGAAAAGGTTCGCCACCACTATCCTACAGTCTGCTTTTCCATAATTTGTCCAGGGTTTTTTAAAAATAAAAATATGAGTCTGCAAGTTGAAAAGCAAATCCTCTTCTTGGACTGATGCGAATTATTATTAAACCTTTCAAGAAACATTGGGGAATTCCTTGATTTATAGCTTGCTATTTCTTCTATAGAAGCAGTGTCTGGTCAATGCCTAAATGAAAATTGTTAGTAAATTTGTCTTACACGTATTAGAAAAAATAGAGCAAATTTCAATTTTTGCAGCTTTCCTATGTTTCATCTGCACATATTATTTCCAAAAACTTTAGCTTCACACTGTAATCTTTTTTTAAATAAAGTTTTTATTTTTTACAACAAACATACAATCGAAACATAAAAAACAAAACCATCTTTCAATTATATACATATAGTGTGCCAGTTGGTTACAATCTTTTGTGCTATCCTTTTTTTTAACCATTATTCACAAGTTGTATAAATTCCCACCTTATCAATCTAACATGTGCTTATGAAATATCAACTATTAATCATTCATTTGACTAAACTATTTTTCCATCATTCTATATGAGATATTCTAAATTTCATTATAATTTAATCTTATACATTCATCCAATGGTTATATATTTTATATTGTATTCTATATCAATCTATTAACTTTTTATTGTAAAGCTTACTCTAATCTTTTTTTTTAATGAACCCTCAACCTGGATCCTAACAAAAATTCTGTTCTAATGCTTCTGAAACTAAAAGAATCAATTCATATTTCCTGTGCTTTGATTTTTCAAATATCTTTCAGTCAAGCTTTCTAACAATTGTACTTAAAAGTTCCAGTTCATGCTAAACAGAATATTGTAAAGGCTAAAAAAGAAAGCTACTCAAGCTATTATTTCCTGTTCAGTTTAGAATTTCATCAAAATCATAACACTCATAATCTGTTAACCATCAATTTGCAATATAAGTATTGTTCAACATTGTGTTTGATAAGTACTTTGGAAACCTCTTTCTTTTATGATTTTGTTTGATGCGACAGGCAACTGTCAATAGAAATGTTTGCAGACATAATTAGAGTCAAGTAACTGGAAAAATAAGAAGGATTTGGGTTCCAGTGGAGAATATATATCAAATATTCTCTTAACATTTACCTCACAACATATCTCTATGTTGCTTCCTGTGATATTGCTTTTTTGTATTGAATGACAGAAGTACAAATAAGCACTAAATATAGCTCAGTATTTCCACTAGTAATTCTATTTGTTTTCTCTGTCTGAGCAGCCAATGGCAATTTACATACTGTATTTATGCTTCACACTAAGCCACAATATAGCAAGTTGACAGAATCAGTTTTGGAGCCTTGTAAACCATGGGTCACAGATAACTATTGTGTGAACCCAAGAAATTGTAATGAATGCAATTCATCATGATTGAAACAACCTTGTTTTCTTGCAATATATGAATTAGCTTCAATACATAGACAGTATCTAAAACTGAACATTTTACTCGATATAAATGACAAGTTGTGTTTATGCCATAATTTTAATTTTCTTTGCGTTATATCAAAACAGTGAAATATTCTATTCATATTTTATGACAACTGATAGATAATAGTTACTATATTAAGTGGATTTATGGGAAAAGTTTAGATTGATAAATAAGCCATTTAAATTAGAGGTTTTGAACATCATACTGCTGTTTTTTCCTTCTTCTTCTTTATCACAGTTCTATTTTACTTTTCAATTTCGCCACAACATCACAGCAGGTCTAAATGCTATATGAAGGAAGTGGGGAGATTTAGGGTCTAGGAAGTGATTGGGCAGGCTACTGAATCTTCAGCACTGAAATAACACAATGCTTTCTACAGGAGACCATATGGTATAAGTAATTTTTTCCTTCAGTAGAAGGGAAATGATAGCAAGAGGAATAATCAGAAGGAAAATGCAAAAAATGCTTGGGGGTGGAAATTGTTTTTTACCTTCCCCTAAAAGCCATTGCTTTAAATTGATGATTTGCTCTCCCTGGGTATTCGTTTATTTACCGAACTGACAATTATATTCAAGATCTGTGGAAAATCTGTATCTAATGTGCACAAAATCTTTTCCCCCCAAATTTCTTCACTAACTTCTCCAGGGAATATTACTGTAGAAGTATTAGAGTACAAACACTAAAAATAATGTATCTTGGCTTTGAATCTGGGTCACTTTATGGACTGGGACTTTGCCATAAGATGAATTTTTCAGCAAACTGCAATTTTCAATGTCTTATTCTTTTTTACGCTTCTCTATTATCTGTTCCTTCTGTACATCTCTAGCCCACAGAATTAAAACAGGATATATTTCTTTATGTGGGCCAAGAATTGTACTTTTCTTTCAGTGGATTCAGAAGAAGAGATTCATGTAACACTAGTAATTAAAAGTAATAATTCAAGACACCTAAAACAGGACTTGTGAGATACATAAATTGATTCTTAGCATAGCCATCGTACAATGCAAGCTAAACTGTTAGTTACATTCAGTAATGAAGGCCATGGATTTAGTTTGCAACATAATACACCCTTGCCATAATAAGAAAAGGAAGTTTCATTAATTCATGCTATGTATTATCAGAATACAAGATAAGACATTACCAATCAGCACAAAAAAAGCATCTCATACAAAACACATTCATCCCTACCCTATGCTACCAGTGCCAAACATGAACACTCACAATAAAACATAAATGAAAGTTAGTCACCATAGAAATAAGATGTCTGAGGAAAGCTGCTGGAGTGACCAGAAGAGATAAAATAAGAATTGAGACCATAAGAGAAAGAATTGGTATTTAACTAATCTTAAACTACGTACCCAAGTAGCAAATAAAGTAGTTTGCTCACTTGGGGAAGATGCTGTGGGATTCCATACTGTACAAAGCATATATATAAAAGGAGCTGACAGTCAAAGAACACAAGACAGACCCAAAAGAAGATGAAGAGACAACGTCAAAGAACCGCTACAACATCAGTTAAGAATGGTTGAAACCACCAGAAGAGCAAGAATCGGAACTTTGTATCTTCCTCAAAGTAAGGAAGGAAGGAAGCAAGGAAGGAAAGGAGGGAGGGAGGGAGAGAAAGATCATCTAGATTTCCCAGTTTCATTCTAACTTTAGCTGAGTCTAACAAAATATGTTTGTATACCTGAGCAAATGTGAATCACAACAACTGAGCAACAAAAAGGCTATAATTATATTTACTTATTGATCTATAGTCTGCCACATTCCATATGGACTCATGCCTGTGTATAATAAACACTACGATAAATAAAATAAAAATAAAACAGTAATAATACAGATAATTAATAATATGCATAATAATATAAGATACAAAGAAATCCTTCAAATTCTCATTTTTTTCATAAATTACTAGAATTAAAAATGATAAGGGTTAAAGGCTTGTTTATTTAGATTAAATAGTCTGAGCAGTTCAGGTTTTCTAAAGACCAACAAAGCCATCTGGGCTTCTTTCAGAGTTGGATCCAGGACTGATAAATAACATGATCTGGCTTGCTCCAGAGCTCACATGTGGGAATCAACCATTAGCATCCCAATCTGACACCAAGTGAAAAATACTAGGTTTCTTTTCCCCACAATGCAACATTCAAAATTAGGAGGTAAACCCAGATCTGTAAAGCCTCCACATTTCAAAGGTTGTACACACAGATTAAAGCACAGACGCTGAAATACAAAGGCTGTACAGTTCTACTGATTTTGAATGCTGTGCCAGGAAAAAAAAAACCCAGCATATTTACCATCAAGTTTTAAATAAACAGAAAATGGGTAATTGATTTAATGCAGTTCTTCACCTATGTTACAGTAATTTCTTACTGTAGCTTTCCCCAAGTTGATGTCCAGCAGATGTGTTTAATCATCACCAAAACAGATCAGGAAATATTCACGGTAGCTCAAGAGGATAGGAATTGTAACCCAAAACATTTGTAGGCCATTGGTTTGGAAAAAGTGTTGGTATGTGGGTGGGTGTGTTGTATATTATTTTTGAATATTGCACTCAAGACAGAAATGAAGCAAAACAGTACACACACATCCCTTCCAACACAGTTCTTTTGTGCACCAACACAAAGCGTGGCTAAGATTATTGGAAAGAAAACAGATGGTGGCCTGTTCTGAAATAAGCATGCCTTTTAAATCGCTAAATCTAGATACAGCCTACAAAGCATTCGCCAAGTTAAACAAGGGCCTGGTATACAGAACTTCCTTTCCCAATTTAGCATATCATAACAGTTATTTTTAAAACAATTTATATCCCTAAGGTGACAATATAATGAGGAAAAACTTTGAAACAGATTCAGAGAGGGCCAAGCTGCTCGTCCCATAATATATTCCTATCTAAGTAATCCAAATATTTGTCCATTTTTCTACGTTCTCCTTTTCATTCCCAAGTGAAGTAGGTCCCCAAGGTATTTTTTCAAAAGGCAACTGGACTTTGTTTTTCAACTGGAAAAACAAAATCCAGTTGCCTTTTGAAAAAACAGCTTTGGGACAACCATGTCCTGGATGACTGAGAATCTTCGTAGACCCCAAGTTTAAGCACTTTTCGTTATCTATAATGGCCCTATAAAATATGTGATCTGCCACACTCAACAGTCTGATAACCATGCAAAGCAGTCCCTCTATGGTTCTCTAACTCTCCAGCGTCTTTTGTAGCCTAGGTGGCATCACATAAGTCCAGTGGTGGTATCTGACTGGTTCAGCCCGGTTCTGCCAAGCTGGTAGCAGCAATGAGCAGCGGAGACTGAACTGGTTCTCTTCTGGCTCTGCTGTTGCCCCCCCCCACCCGCCTGGGCTCCCATACTCACTTTTATCTGCTGAATTTGAAGCATAGCTGCTTTGCGCAGCACAGAATAGCACCGCGCGGCAGCTGCTGAAACCAACCGGGATCGTGCAAGCTTGCAGGAGGTCAGTTAGAACACCTCTGCGCCCGCGCAAACGCCTCTGCACCTGTGCAAAGAACGAGTTTGGCACGCACAGGCACGCAAAGTGTGTGCATGCGCGCAAAGCATGCCCACCAAGCCACGCCCACTGAAGCGGTGGCAACAATATTTGAATCCTACTACTTCATAAGTCTCAATATGTGGCTACAAAGCTGCCTTGAATATAAAGCCTCAGAAGTTGTGCGGGATGTATCAAAAGCCACTGCTGATTCTGAACAGTGCCCGAAGGCAAAATTTATCCTAATACCTCCTGAAGGAGTATACCAACCACTCCCCAAGCTCAATTTTCAACAGCTCAGATGAACAAAAACGGAAATTACAAAAGTCTGTCACAAATAATTAGGAGCTCCAACTGGAGGTAAAAACAACAGCGAAAAGAGGCTTTCAAACCTAGCATAGGAAATAAAGTGCAAATGATCAATATTACTTTAATCTACCAAGAGTAGATTAAAATTGTAACACCCTTTGCCTTAAATGATGCTGTTTGTAAAGGCAGTGGATGTAATACAATCTTCTACACAATATTTCACCAAGTATTATTAATAAGCTACCCTCCTTACTATAAGCCGTAACATTAAGAAATGTTTCTCTTTTCAAAACTCTCTTTTCCAGAATTATGATGGATTGTTTTATCACATATCAATGGTCTATATAACCTCTCCCTCTTTATGGATTAAAAAAAACCGTATGAGTTATAGGATTTATAACTTTAGATATAAGTTGTAGCTTTAGCTTAGCAAGATTGATGTCAGGCCCAAGCCCATAGATGACACAGTGAAATCCAATCAAGTTCAAGCCCTTACTTGCTTATACCTAATGGACAGAATCTTGCCAAACTAAAGCTACAATTTTCTAACCTATGAGTCATATCCTGAGAGATTCTACGGTGTGGCTCAAGGACTGCACGGTCCCTTAATTCCTTTCTCGGGAAAAGCTCTATGTTGCCAAAACTCCCCCCTCCCCGCTCCTGCAGATGCACATTCCATCACATGGAATAATAAACAAAGTTCAGATTTGTCTTCTGCCCAATGATTCTAAAATCCCTTTCTATGATAAAGAGTCTAAATGATATCATAACGATTCAAACAGTCTTATTAATAGAGGCTACTTGGTTGCTTTGCCTATGTTGGAAAAACATCACTGATCCTGGCTGTGTTACCTTACAACCTTTTTTTTGTTGCTATCATTTGTCATCCCTATGATGGCTGACATAATCAATACACTTACATTGACATCAAATGCTTCCCTTTAGCTAACTGGCCCAATTTTAGCGGTCTGATGTCACAGCAAAATAGCATTTTGGTTGAATGTCTATGGAGATTTTCAATCATCCAGGTCATGGTTGCCCCAAAGGTGCTTTTCAAAAGGCAACTGGACTTTCAAAATTCAATTGCCTTTAGAAAAGCATCTTTGGGACAGCATTTCAGTTAATATTTCTATACTACCCAAAAGTTTACCAATCTACATTCTGAATACTACACATTCTAACATGTATTCTGATTAATACATGTGAAATGCCTCACACATTTGGGTTTATTACATTTTTCGGATGTTTAACAAAAATATCTGACGATAATTCTACCTGCGTAGCATTGCTTCTAGAAAGATGCCTAATAGCATAGGGCCGTGATGGTGAACCTATGGCACACGTGCCACAGGTGGCACGCTGAGCCATTTGTGCTGGCATGAGAGCTGCAGGCAAACTTACCTCACTGTGCATGCACGCACCTCACAGCTGATTTTTGGCCTGTTTGAGGCCTTTTTCAGCCCTCCAAAGGCTTGAGGAAGGCTTCTTCAGGCTTCTACAAGCTTTGTAGGCCAAAAATCTAGCCCCGTTTCATCACTTCCGGTATTTTCACAAAAACAGGAAGTGACAAAACGGGCCTAGTTTTCGGCCTGCAAAGCCTGCAGAAGCCTTCCTCAAGCCTTTGGGAGGCCAAAAAAGGCCTCAAACAGGATAAAAATCAGCTGTGAGGCGCAGTGCAGATAAGGGGGCAGTGGGGGTGAGGTGGGATTGTGTGTGCATGTGTAGTAGGCGTGGGGGGGTACGCATTGTCTTCTACGTGTTGGCACGTGAGCACGAGCATGCAAGCATGTGCACAATTTTTGGCACAGGAGCCCAAAAAAGTTAGCCACCATTGGCATAGAGCATTGCATATGTCAGGAGATGCAAATGCCTTCCCTTTCTTTGATCTGAGAAACGTAAGTTATGAATTCTTAAATATGGGAAGATAACCTCATCTGCTTTCTTTCTTTCCCACTTTAGCAATCAGCTAATGTAACCAATCAATGTAATAGTTAGACAAGCAATAGAACCTTAGACTAATTTTCATAAATTATCCTCTAATGATTGTTTAGCTGGATTTGAATAACTAAATATTTTTCAGCTAGCATTTATATGTTTTGGGATCTAGTTCTTGGCACAAAGGGTATTGAAAATGTGTATGCCAGCAGCAATTTTATTCTGGGTGATGGTTAATACAGTGTTAGACTGACTGCATTTGCATTAATTATTCAAAATAATAGTATCAGAAGGTTATACGCTATTATCTTAATTGACAATATCATTACATCTGATGTAAACTTTACGGAGCTCATTTTTAATGCATATTGTTTTAGTATAATATTTATACTAAATAATATTAATTTGCAGAATCAATTTGGTATACTGGTTAAGGCACCAGGCTAGAAACTGGGAGATTATGAATTCTAGTCCTGCTTCAGACATGGCCAGCTGCGTTACCCTGGGCCAGTCCCTTTCACTGAGCCCTCGGAAGAAGGCAATGGCAAACCACTTCTGAACTCTTGCCAAGAAAATTACTTGTCTGGGCCAGTCACCAGGAACACACATACACACAAACACAAAATCTGTCCTTGTTGAGATCATCATAAAAAAAATGATCAAATTAATGGTTCCATTCTCTCCAGTTTAAATTTCAGCTGCTCTTTCATAAATACAGATGTCTGTTTTATACACTGATACCTTTCTCTTCTCTGAACAGATGCAATCAAGATGTTGCCCTCAGTAAATGATACAATGCCCAAGTAACTAGGACTGCTTCTTTATGAATACAGTCACAGACCAGGTTTTAGATTCTAACTAGACCAGGGGTGTCAAACTTGCGACGACACATCGTCATCACGTGACGTATCACAACTCTCTCCCCCCGCTTTGCTAAAGGTGGGAATGGCCAGCGTGTGATGCATCTGGCCTGCAGGCCGAGAGTTTTTCACCCCAGAACTAGACTATTGCTCCGTGAATAATAAAAGTAAGGCTAATAGTTTCAATCACAATGCTAATTGGGCATGATACTGTTGTGCCATTGTGCTCAAGCAGAAAAATCACTCAAATGTATTCTGTATGCCTAACAGCCTTTGCCTGCTTTGTATTTGTACCAAAAACAAGATGGAAAACACATATGAACTTTAATCAAAGGAAAACTTCAAAATGCTGAAAGATGCTTATGAGTTTAATGAAAGCAGAGGATGGGTGTTAACTGATAAAACCGCTGGCTTTCTTATCTGCTTAACTCAGTTGCACTTAGTCTTATACAGAGCATGACCAATAGTTGGCATGAAAAGAGAAATGTGATCCTCCACTAGTTTTCAAACTGTTTATATAGCAAAAATGGCCAATCTGCTTAAATGAGACCTCTGCTTTATTTGGTAAGAACTGTTAAATGAAAATGTATTTTAAAGTGCGTGTGTGTGTAATTCATTCATCTTTTTTATTGTATGCCTTACTTGATCAAATGTGCTATATGGGAATAATGTTTGTGCTGAAGAGTATCTTCAATTTTATTGTTATTTTATTCACTGGGTCTTTCAAACATCTGGCTAGTGGTAGTCAAGAACAGAAATGTATTCTATTTATTCATTCAATTAGTTTATTAAATATGAAGTTATATTTTGCCTTCTTAGTGTGATTCGTCTTCCTCCCTCCTTTCAATCTATTCATCTTTTTTCAGCCATACATATTTTTTTATTGTTTAATTTTTTTGTATGTGCATCTAGGAACTGTAGTTTTCCCAAAATAATGTTTATACTAAAAATCTCATATTAAGGTGATGGATAAACAGTAAAATCTAGGGTGTGTGTTTTTTTATTTGTGAGGAATTAAGAATTATATCTGAACGACAGATGAAACATTTCAATACAAGACATTTAAAGCCATAAATGCACAACATATTTAGGATTTAATTTACTAATTTGGTCTATCCATAAATCAATGTCTGCAGCCTTGTAATATAATGTAAAAGAGAAGAAAGGAAGCAACATGTTGCAGCCCTATTGTAAAAATATCTCAGAAGAGCTTCTTAAATTGAGCACCTGGAATAATTCCTCCCTTGAAATAACAATAGATAAGAACACCTTCAATAAATTCTAAAAAAACATAACTAGCATTTATGAAAAAGAATGACATGAATACAAATAGTCCATTGTTGTTTTACATTACACTTTTTATTCACAATACCTGAAAATAGCTTAAAACAGCAAACAAAGAAAACCTCGTTAAAATAAATACAAATATTTGGCCCTTAATTCTGTAAAAATTTAAAATAAGTCCAAACAGCAGTCTTGTTCCCATGTTTGACAAAAACACTGAAGAAAACCCATTCCAACAAAATGGGCTTCTGAGGATGGAAATACCTTCAGAAAGATTCTGCTGATCTTTATAGCCTTATAAGTTTTATAATAGGAGAGGCAATGGCTACAATACTAAAACTTTTAATAGTCCTGATACTGACATGCAACATATGATCCACATACTCTGCACCCTTTGGCAGCCTGGCTGCTGCATTTTGCCCCAATTGCAACTTCTAAACACTTTTCAAGGGTAGCCCCAAGTAGTCTGCAGTAGTCAAGAAAAGACGTAACCAAGGAATGGTTAATGATAGCACAATCTAATAGCTCAGCAAGTGATAATCTTTAATTTCCCAGTAAGGAGCACAGGTTGTAGAAGATCTATCCCTTTCTCACACCTGGGCTAGAGGAAGATGCAAAGACTTCTTGGGTGATAGGTACCAGCAAGAAGCTGCACCAAAGAAGAAATGTGGGCTAAGGCCAGAGGATTCAGCCCTACCACAACAGCAGTGTTGAAAAATGCATCTTTGGAATTGAACGATAAAAAGAAACACAACTGGATATCAGCAGTCTAATGAATTCATGTTATTACTGCTGAAACAGATGGGCTTTGCTAGAAAATTTATTCAAGCAATAGAAGCTATACATCATAAGCAAACAGCAAAGGTAATGATAGAGGGAGAACTGACAAACTCTATTGATATAAGAAAAGGAACAAGACAAGGGTGCCCACTATCACCTCTGTTGTTTGTCTTAACCTTGGAAGTGCTAAATAGAAATATTGGAGATGAAAAGAATATAAAAGGGATAAAAATTAAAAAGGAAGAATTTAAGTTGCAAGCATTTGCAGATGATCTGGTTTTTGTCTGAGAAGACCCACTAGAAACAGCATCAAAATTGATAGAAAAGATGGAGACATATGGAAAGGTGGCTGGTTTGAAAATAAATAAAGATAAGGCAAAGATCTTGACAAAGAATATGCTATCAAGACAAAAGGAAGAACTGGCAGACCTACTGAAAATTCAGGTCATGAATAAGATCAAGTACTTGGGGATATACTTGACAGCAAGATGCAGTACACTAAAAGAGAATAATTATATCAAACTTAAGCAGCAGATAGCGCTAGATTTGGCGAAATGGGAAAATTTACAACTGTCATTAATAGGGAGAATATCAACAATCAAGATGAATATATTACCCAGCATTTTATATTTGTTCCAAACAATTCCAATTAGGCTTGGAAAAGATTACTTTGAAGATTTAAATAAAATTGTGTTGAAATATATATGGCAAGGTAAGAAAGCGAGAATAAAGTTAAAACTTTTACAAGATGCTAGAATAAGAGGAGGATTTGGTTTGCCTAATTGGGAGTTGTATTACCAAGCTACAAATCTGATGTGGGTTAAGGAATGGATAACATTAAGAAATACTAGATTGTTGACATTAGAAGGACATGACCTGTTGTTGGGGTGGCATGCTTTTTTATGGTATAAAGGAACTAAAACACAGGGGTACTTTAGAAGACATTATATACGGGAGTCTCTGTGGTTAAATTGGGAGAAGATTAAAAGACAATGTTATTTGAAAATTCCAGTCTGGCTATTGACTATTGAAGCATTTTCTTATCCTATAATATACAAAAAGGAACAAACAGTTAGATATGGTGAAATATTGAATGAAAAGGGTGAACTCAAATCTATACAAAAACTAGAGGAACAAGGTATAAAGATGAATTGGTTTTCATATGCGCAAATACATTCAAAGTATGATAAAGATTCTAAAATGGAAGGTTTCGATGATAAATTGATTGATTTAGATAAGATTTTGACAGGTACTGATGAAAAGGTGATTAAAAAATTGTATGGATATTTATTAGAAATTAAATTAGAAGAAGAACAAGTTAAAGAAACTATGATTGCTTGGGGGAAGAATTTTGGATATGGGATTGATCTAGAAAAATGGCAAAAATTGTGGTCTCAAAATTATAAAATGACAATGTTAACAGCATATAAAGGAAATTTGTATAAGATGTTTTACAGGTGGCATTTCCCCCTGACAAGAATAGCAAGAATGTTCAAGAACAAATCCGAAAAATGTTGGAAATGTCATCAGACAGCTGGCTCATATTACCATATGTGGTGGTCTTGTGAGGATGCTAAAAAATACTGGACTAAAATCCACACGTGGTTGGAAAAAATGACAAAAAAACATATAGATTTGAAACCAGAGATATTTTTATTGGGGAATTTTACCTGAAATATATAGTAAAAACTTGAAATACCTGGCTGTAAATGTATTAACAGCGGCTAGGATTGTATTTGCTAAAAACTGGAAAAATGAGAAAACACCATCACAGGAGGAAATCATTAAGAAAATATTGGAATGTGCTGAAATGAGCAGATTGACATTTGAAATTAGAGAACATGAGGATAAACAATTTTATAAAGTTTGGGATCTATTCTATCAATGGTTAGACAATAAAGTATAGTAACGAAATATGTAGACTTTTAGAAAATACTAAATATATAAAGATGTATTTCCTTATTATATCTACAAAATGATTTTAGGATAGATTTGGGATGATAATATGAGTTGTCACAAAACAAATTAAGTAAAATATGATTATTTACTAAAGCATGAATGAATAAAAGTATAGTCAAATGATTGATTAATAATGATACTAATGTATTTAATATTGGATTGAAAATACGAGATCATATACAATGTAACTGTAATTGAAGACTACGAAATGGAAGCACAAAACAATTTGTAAACCAACCAGCACACTGTATGTACATATATGGAAGATACCCTGATATTTTTATGTTTTGTTTGTTTGTTTTAAAAACTAATAAAAAAAAACAGTCTAATGACACCACCCCATTCCAAATTTCCAGATGACCTCTTTTTGCACTTACATAACACAGGAAAGAAATGAAGCCCCATGAAACACTTTCAGTATTTGTTCCCAGTGAGCCACTCATGCAGTATTTCTTTTTTCATGTTTGCCTTCCCAGATGCTTCATTCTTCATCTACATTTTCACTCCACACTCATAGCTATGAGGTACCAATTGGTGCATCACTGGATTGTGTTTCCCCAACATCATCCTGTTATCTATTTAAAAATAGAAGAACGCATATATTTTTTTCTTTATATGGGCTTCCCCAAGGCATTTCTACAAAATTTCATTTTCACACCTCCCCAACCTTCAAAGACATTTGAAAATAATCTTAATCCTCTCCGTTTCTACTAGCTATAAAATGCATAGAGTATGGAACAGGGGGGAGGGAGAAAACCCATTGCCCTGCCCTTAGCATCTTACAAGCAGATGCTATACTACTGAGCACCCAAAAGCAGTTAAAACACTTCTATGTGAAATACTGCAGGTACCTAACACAACAGGTCATGCACAGCTTTGCGTGTGTCTTCATTTCTGCATCACGGCTCAGATGAATGTTGAAATTTCACAACTGCCTAAATAACGTGGCTGCTGAGAAAGCCAGCCAGCCAGCCTAACAATCATTTGACTTGGTAACTTTCTGGTATTCATTTCTTATCTCAGGTAATGAGATTTATTTCACTCCAGCCTCTAGTAATATAGAAATCTATTTATTTTTATATCAATCTTCCTCTGAAAACATTGGAAACAACATGCTGCTGGAACAAAACAATTCTCCATCTAGACTAGAGCCTCTATGAATCAAAGATCTGAAATACTGAAATACTGAAAAAAAAAACAACCCTTATAATTGCTACTTCCAGGCTCAGAAATCAGAAATATTATACAATTAATGTTGTTTATGTTCTCTGAAAAAAAAACTACATTAATAGTGTTTGCATGAAATTTACTTCTCTGTTTCTGACTCAAGGCCATCCTTTCCATTGGAAGTTACTCTTAACTCTGTCTATATTTTGTAGGCGAAAGGGCAAGCAGCAATAGTTTTATGTCTAGCCTTTGTTCCCTTTCTGTCATTTCAGAAATGTTCCCTCAATCTGACATCATTCTCTTAATTTGCCACCTTTCCTCCTAGTATGATACTTGGCTGAAATTCCATACCTCAAAATAGTAACAAGT